GCTGCCCCGGCCCCCCCGCCACCGCCGCTCCCCCTCAGCACTGCACAGATTAAGCAGGAGCCGTCGGAGGAGTATGAGCCCCCCGAGAGCCCCGTGCCACCCGCTCGCAGCCCCTCGCCGCCCCCCAAGGTCGTGGATGTGCCCAGCCATGCCACAGCCAGTCAGCCAGGTGAGGGGCAGCAGCTGAGGGGTGACCTTGGGGTGTCCCCAGGCTGGGGAGGGATACATGGGGCAGGGGAGGTAACTCTGAATGTGAGGTACAGCGGTGCCTTTTTGCCCTTTCTGCATTGCTCTTCCCTTTTCCGCACTTCCAGGCTTGGCTTTGCCTGCTCCTGTTCCCATCCCTGCCCTCCGGCCCCCTCCTGCACTGACAGGTTTCATCTCTTGTCCCCAGATTCAACAAACACCTAGATCGTGGCTTCAACTCCTGCTCTCGCACAGACCTGTACTTCGTGCCCCTCGATGGCTCCAAGCTGGCCAAGAAAAGGGCAGACTTGGTGGAGAAGGTGCGGCGAGAGGCTGAGCAGAAGGCACGGGAAGAGAAGGAGCGGGAGCGGGAGCGGGAACGAGAGAAGGAGCGGGAGCGGGAAAAGGAGCGGGAGCTGGAGAGGAGCGTGGTATGTTTGGGGGTCCCGCTGCCACTGTGCAGCCAGGGGGGATACTCGAGGACCCCCCATGTCACTCCCTGCTGTGCCTCTGACGCTGGTGCCTCTGCTCTCTTGCAGAAGATGGCCCAGGAGGGCCGGCCGGTGGAGTGCTCTTCCCTCGGGCCGGTTCCCCACCGCCCGTCCTTCGAGCAGGGCAGTGCTGTAGCGACTGTTCCCCCGTACCTGGGCCCTGACACCCCGGCTCTGCGCACCCTGAGCGAATACGCGCGGCCCCACGTCATGTCCCCCAGCAATCGCAACCACCCTTTCTACGTGCCGCTGGGTGCCGTCGACCCAGGCCTGCTGGGGTACAACGTGCCGGCCATCTACAGCAGCGACCCGGCGACGCGGGAGCGGGAGCTGCGGGAACGGGAAGCCCGCGAACGAGACCTGAGGGACCGGGACCTGCGCGAACGCCTCAAGCCTGGCTTTGAAGTCAAGCCAGCCGAGCTGGAGCAGCTCCACGCGATGCCGGCCGCTGCCATGGATCCGTTCCCGCGCCACGGCGGGCTGAGTCTGCAGACAGCCCCTGGCCTTCATCCTGCTTTTCCCTTCCACCCAGGGCTGGGCCACTTGGAGCGGGAGAGGCTGGCGCTGGCAGCTGGCCCCACCCTTCGTCCTGACATGTCCTACGCCGAGCGCTTGGCCGCTGAGCGCCAGCACGCCGAGCGGGTGGCTGCTCTCAGCAACGACCCTCTGGCCCGCCTGCAGATGCTCAATGTGACCCCTCATCACCATCAGCATTCCCACATCCACTCCCACCTCCATCTCCACCAGCAGGATGCCATACATGCAGGTAAGGACCCCATGGTGGTGGTGCCCTGCGCAAAGCCCTGCTCTCCCTCCTACTGCACCTGCCCTCCCGGGGGGCTCTCCTTCCGGGAGGGAAGACCTGTGGAAGACCAAGAGCTGCCAAGGCAAGAGTTGGAGGCCCCAGATCCACCTCTTCAGCCAGAGGAGGTCAAAGTCATGGTCATTCAGCCTCACCCCCTCACACCCATCCCACCAAAGACACTGATATCCTTTGCAAGTATCGGGGTGTCTGTGAGTTTGCTGCTTAGGGGAGTGCAGAGCTGTGTCCCTTAGTTCTGGATCTCTGGGGACATGGTATGAGTGCTGGGGTCCCACTGGCTACCAGGGTGGTCGGACTGTGGACTGCATCCCTCACACGGTGGTCTGCAGAGGGAGTGGGAGCCTTGCTGATGACAGTTTTGACAGTATCCTTAGGACTGATGGGGTGTTGGGTTCTCTGGCTTGCTCCTATGGTTCTTGCTGCAGATGGTGGGATAGGAGAGATGGTGGGCTAATTGTAAGGAACTGGAAGCTGCTGTCCTTCAGTGTTGGGTGGTGGTCCCTTCCATTTCCGCATTCCACGGGAAAGAACAGAAGTTTAGGGGTAAAAATCTCAGGAAAGCAAAGCCCGGACTACAAAAAGAGGAAGTTAGTGGGATCTGGTGGCAGAGTGACAGACAGACACGCAGCCTGAGCAACCACAACTACTCAGCACTAGGTACAAATGAACGTCTGTTGCCCCACACTCTGTCACTGGGCACCTCCAGCCGGCACTCTGGCAGTGAATCCAAAACACTGGGAAGAGGAGTTTTCGTATCAATAGTACCTTGTATTTCAGCCTTAGATGGTACTTGCAAACTGGAGTGCCTGGCACTGAGCATCTGCGCTGGATGAGACCTGGGAACGGAAGCACCAGATATGAGTATGCACTTGGATGGCAGCCAGGGTGGCAGATAGGCATGGTGCTGGGTACAGGTCTGGTTGCAGAGCAGGTCCTCGTGGAATTTGCTTTAAGGAGCAGTACTTGTTCCAGAGGAGTGTAGAGCCAGAGCTATGCCAGACTGGTTCAGGTGAAATTCAATGTAGGCAGAAGGAATAGCACTCAAGAGGACATGGTGCTGCATTGTCTAGCCTGGAAATCATTCCATCCTTAATGCACACTGACCATCTCCATGTCTGTTTTGTTGTGCCTTGCACCTTTCCCTGTGTTACCTCTTACAAAGCACAGCAGAGTCATCTTGTGTTACCTTTTCTTCCCAGCCTCAGCCTCTGTTCACCCTCTTATCGACCCTCTCGCCTCGGGATCACACCTTACCCGGATACCATACCCAGCTGGGACCATCCCCAACCCTCTCCTGCCTCACCCTCTACATGAAAATGAAGTCCTGCGCCACCAGCTTTTTGGTAAGGACGCTCACCCAGAGTCTGTCCGGAGGAGCATCAGCAGGTGCAAGGGGCAGGGTGGCCATGAGGGGTCACAGGAACAAAGTGAGGTCTGTTAAACAGAACTCTGGCACAGCATAGGACAGGCCTACACACCAGGGGGTGAGCAAGTCCTGCACCTGGGCAGGGCTGGGAAAGAAAGCGCAGTAGAGCCTTGGCTGAGCTATGGGGCCATGGGAGAGGATAGAGCTGTTCTGTTAACCGATTTCTTCTCCGTTTCGTCTTTGGCTGCAGCCGCACCCTACAGGGACCTGCCGGGCTCCCTCTCCGCGCCCATGTCGGCAGCACATCAGCTGCAGGCCATGCACGCGCAGTCAGCCGAGCTGCAGCGCCTGGCCCTGGAGCAGCAGCAGTGGCTTCATGCCCCCCACCCCCTGCACGGTGTGCCGCTCCCCACCCAGGAGGATTACTACAGGTGTGTGGACCTGCTCTCTCCGCGGCACAGAGCGGGCAGAGTAACTCGCTCCTCACAAGTAGAGCTCGGGCCCGTCCCTGGCCTGGAGGTGGCTGAGGCAGTGGGGACAGGGAGGCATTGCCCCCAGAGTGGGTGACTCCAGCCTGAGCCCACACCTGGGAGCAGGGGTGTCTTGCCACTGGGGCACAGCTGTGGCTTGGCCCCGGGGAGGTTGTTCTTGGCAAGTGGCTGTTCAGTGGCTAGACTCATGTAGGGTCTGAGCTCCTCTCCTCTGGGGCAGGAGGTAAGGTTGCACATTTCACACATGCCAATACAGATAGGACAAAGTGATACCCTTGCCAAAACACCAAGCATTTGGAAGGGTTGGATGCTTTTGCCAAGACGAGGGTCTCACAGATGCACAGGAAGCGTGTTGGAAAGGAGAGAGGTGCAGTGTTGTACCTTTTGGATAGCATCTCCTGCTTTAAGGATTTGCAAAACTTACCAGGCCAGCAGCGTCCTGCAGGTCTAGACTAACAAAAGGCTGTGGGAGATATTAAATTGCCTTCTTCTCTCAGAATCACTTTGTTCCTCTTCTTTATCCTAGTCACCTGAAGAAAGAAAGTGACAAACCCCTTTAAATGGACTCCTAATGTCAACGTGACATCATCATGTCTTTCTCTCGAGGAGCGATCGATTTAACCAAAATCCTGGGGAGGGGAAGCTGCAGAGTGACCCATCCTGATCCCACCATGCAGTAGAGTGCAAGAGAAGATGGACAAAAAGTACAGGATGGCATCCTGGGGGCAGAAGGTGGAGGAGAGAAACTGGGGAGGGACTGGTGCACCACTAACAGACATGAAACGATCGGTACGCGATGACAGCAGAGCTCTGAGGAGAGCAGAATCAGCATTGCTCAGAGCTCAGCAGGACAAAAGACTGACATGAATTCAAGTCGGCAGCAGCTCCATCCTTTTGTTTTGGGGGAACAGTTGAATTAAATAAAAAGTGCAGAGCATCGCAGGACTTCATGCACACGATGCTGCTGCCTTTCCTGCTGCTGCGGGTAGGTCTGGCCGGGAAGTAACTCGGAACCCAAGAGAGCCTGTTTTCCAAGATGCCTCCTCACCCCCCCACGTGCATTTCCGTGTAAGATACTGCTTAGCGATACAGAAAAGCAACATGGAACTTTTTCAGGTTAGCCAGAGCAGCTTCCCGTTCTCCAGCATCCCTTCAGATGCAAAGAAAGCATGACAGGACCCCCTTCCAAGGTGGCCTCTCCTGCCTGCAGAGGGACCGGTGTCAGCCATCGGGGTGCAAAGCATCCCAGAGACTGTGGGTGAGACGGTGCTTTCCCAGGGCTGGCTGGAAGGGACGTGGCCACGAGGTGCAAAGCATCAAGAGGCTGTTCCCGAGGCTCCAGCCACCCCCAGGTGGGGAGTGCCAGCGTGGCCAAAACCATGAGTGCATCCTGGGACTGACTGTCTTTGAGATGGTGGCTGCCCCTTCCCCCTCACCCATTCTGATTGATGTACTTTAACTCATGCACATCCTATTAGACGTGGCAGTTTTATGTAGCAACTCGTGACTCCCTTGCCCCCCGCGTGCGTGTCCGATTTCACAGTTGTATCTGGATTGGTCCCCATATATATATATATATATTTACTTAACCATTAAAAAGGAGAAGAAACAAAACAACCAACAACCCAGCTATGGAGAAAACACCCCAGCCCCCTTCCCCACGCACTCCCAAGCCCCAACACGCATTCTAATAAT